TAAGTATTTGGAAAACTATAGCATATCCTGTAGGCTTAAAACTACTTTTTACAAAATCTGCATGTGCTTTTGAACTTAATTTCAGAAAATGTAAAAGTTATCTTTAAGTCTGCTACGTTTTAAATATGAATCAAGTATTGTAGTGCACTTTTAGGCGGCTTAGCAAATGCTAACATTGGTTTTTAATTCTAAAAATGTATAGCATATCTACGAGGATTAAAAGTGCCCTTAAACGATGTGAGTTTTTAGGTGCTAAACGAAATTTTAAGCCATTTTTCTTACTAAAATCTTAGGACGCTTAACCTTCTACGTTCGGATTTTAGAGCTTGACATACCAGATCGTATGTAAAGCTCGTCCATGAAGTTAAATCGACCTAAAAGTTAAATATACATTAGGAATAATTGCTAATGGCGGAACCGATGGAGTCCGTTTTATTATGAAGTGTAGCCTAACTATCACAAGGCATCTGTAACGAATACATGGTCCTACATTAGGTCAATGTAGGGCCATATTTCAAAAGCTGTAAAAATTATTCAGAAAGAATTGGTGGGAAGGTTTTACCTCGCCCGCCTGATAGTCTAGACCTTTGTTAAGATTGATGTAGTGAAAATTTCACTCAACTAAGGCGAATGGTTTAGATTTAATCAAAATCAAAACGAAATAACTCACAAAAGTATTGCCTAAAACACTGACACAGAAAATATGTAGCATACATTTGAGAGTTCATGCTATTAAACTTCTTTTTTGTTAAAGATATAGAATGAGCAGTAATTGTTGTTCGTTTGAGAGGAAATATTAACAAGACTTTCTTCATTTTGAAGATATTTTTGAAATTTTTAAAAAAGATTAAACATTTCTTTAAATTAAGTATAATATTATTTAAAAATGTAGTATATTTTTAGGCTTACATTCTAAAAAAAACTTTGTTTAAGAGTACAATTTTCACTTTAGTTTTGGAGAGCTAAACGAAAGTTTAATTAATTTAGCATACTTTTAGGCTTTAAAATCTCAACTATTTAAATTTTGAAGTATCCTAAAAGTATACTTCAAAATTTAAATAGTATACTTAAATTTTAAGAAAACTTATTTTTAAAAGATTTTAAGCAGATTATACTTGTAACCAAATCCTAAAGAAAATTACCCCATTAGCTTCTTTAATTTTACTACATCTCTCAATAATAAAAGGACAATAGTTTTTCACCTATAATGAACCGTAAAAATCAAATATTTATATTTAGTAATATACTTTTAGGCTAAAATTTTGAAAAATTTTGATTTTAAGCAAATTTTCTAATCAAATCCTGAAGAAAACAAACCTATTAGCTGCTTAAATTTTACTACATCTCTCAATAATAAAAGGGCAATAGTTTTTCATCTATAATGAACAGTAAAAATCAAGTATTTATATTTAGTAGTATACTTTTAGGCTAAAATTTTGATTTTAAGCAAATTCTCCAACCAAATCCTAAAGAAAATAAACCTGTCAGCTGTTTAAATTTTACTACATCTCTCAATAACAAAAGGACAATAGTTTTTCACCTATATTTAAACCAAAAAATCATGTTTTAAAATGTAGTAGTATACTTTTAGGCTAAAATTTTTTTAAAAAACTTGATTTTAAGCAAATTCTCTAACCAAATCCTAAAGAAAATAAACCTATTAGCTGTTTAAATTTTACTACACCTCTCAATAAAAACAGCACAATAGTTTTTCACCTATAATGAACCCAAAAAATCATGTATTAACGATTTGAATTACAAATAATAGTATCCCATTGTTTTCATGAGCTTGTTTTTTTTTTGCCCAATGATGAGTAGTTGTTCTTTATTAGATGTCATAAGAATAACATAACACCAGGACTATTTATATTAAGCATGTGTATATGTTAAATGTATTAAATAATCTACATAAGTATACATACATTATAAATATCCTCATAATACAACATATACATACACAGATACATGTTAATGGTCGTTAACAGGACATAAGCATAGATATTGAATGTTTATAGATTATTATAATCATAATAAAAGAAATATACATACAAAAAAGCACATGCATGGCTTAAAGGAATAAAACAACATCCTTAAATAAAAACAAATATAACAAAAAAAAAAAACGAACCAAGTCATTGCTTGGTAACCCTTAACTATAGACGTACACACATACAAACATTTCTACAATTTCCTATTAAACACCACCACACCCTGTATTTAACTTATTACACACACATAAAACGTATGGTCAGTTTAAATAGATGTGTATTGAATATTAAAAAAAATCTACAAAAAATATATATTGAAGCAGCGCCTTTTTATATGCAATATTATTTCATATACATACATATTGTTAATATTGAACAAATGTTCAAAAATAATAATATTTTATTTGTATATGTGCATAGAAATAGATAATTTAATGGTAAATATCAAATACATTTCACACAATCCTCTAAAGATGGGTCATCAAATGATTTTGTTTTTTTTTCTGTTTTTTTGAGAGGGTATAAAACACATTGACTAAATGTCTTTGATTATTATTATTTTTATGGTAAAGCACAATAATCATAAAAATAATTTTTAGTTATTGTTTTCAAGTATTTTTCGATGACACTAAATGTGCAAATAAAATCTGTAGCACAAAAGAACAAAAAAAAATAGTAGAAATAAATATATATTAAAACATATTAAGTGTTAAATTGAAACACGTTTTGGCTATAATATCCTGGTAATTGTTGTTAAAATAAAGCATATTAGCTTAAGAATTTTTAGTTGGAGGGGGAAACTTAGCAAGATTTTTCACCTTTCATTTTGTTTTAAGTTTTAAATACTATTAAATAATACAAAAATTATAATAAATATTTATAATTTTTAAATAATTGTTTATAATAAAGTTAAGGGCAAGCAATATAGTTTTGTTTTTAATGACATTTAAATAAAATGCAAACGGTTTGCAACCGTTTTTTATAAAACAACCCAGCAGCCGTTTTAATTAAAGAAAAGCTTTAATTATATTTTAATTGCTTTATATCCCAAAGACAAAAGCTTTTGAGTAAACTTTTGTTTTATTACATTTACGGTTTAATTAATTGCTGTTAAGTTCCTTAGCAATTTAATAGCTTAAAAGCTCTCAAAAAAGCTTTTCCAATTAACTATAAAGAAAAATCTCTACAATTATAAAAGTGTCCACAATTTAAAAAGCTTTATATAGGGATTTTTGTGTAGTTCTTACTTTTTAAACCAGAGTAAATTTAAAACAGTTGCATCCAATTTTTCATCTTACTTTTTATATAAAAAAGCTTTATAATAAAAGCTTTTTAACAGCCTTAATAAAAAACTTTTGAAACGAAAAAAACATTATATAAATGTTATATTAAACAGCTATTATATAAAAGCTTTAATAAAAAACTTTTTTAAAAAAGTATTCATATAAAAGCTCTAATATAATTTGAATAAACTAGTTTCCCAAAAAGCTTTTTTCATTTTCCTTTTTATAATATAATTTAAAATAAAAGCTTTTTATATAAAAAAGCTTTAAAATAAAAGCTTTTTAACAGCCTTAATAAAAAACTTAGAAAAAAACTTTATATAAATGCTATAAAAGCTTTTGTATAAAAGCTTTAATACAAAACTTAAAAAAAGCATTCATATAAAAGCTTTAATATAATTTGAATAAATTAGTTTCCCAAAAAGCATTTGGCTGATAATAAAGCTTTAATTAAATACTTTTTAAAAAAACATTAATATTAAAGTTTTATATTATCAGCCAAAAAGCTTTTGGCGGATAACTAAACCTTGTTTAATAAAACTTTTTAAAGTTTAACAAGAGATAAACTTTCCCAAAAGCTTTTGTCTAATTTAGCTTTAATTTATAAAGGTTTTTCAAAAATTTCAAAAAATCTTTTAAAAGCTTTTATAAAAACTTTTAGCAAACTAAACTTAATTTAAATGAATAAGTTTTTGAACAGTTTTCTCTTTAAGAAAACTAGTTTGAAATATTGTAGATTCAAGAGTATATCTTTAAAAGCTTTAAATAAAGCTTTCGGAAAAGCTTAATAGCTTTCAATAAGTCATTAATTACATTAAAAGTTTTCGTTGTTAAAATATTTTCTCTCAACTCTTTCAATTTTAAAAAAGAGTTTTACAATTTTCCCAAGGGACAAAGCTTTAGAAGAGCTTAAACAAAAATAAACTTTCAAAAGCCAAAAACATTTGTTTAAAAACTTCAAATATGTATAGCTTGTAGAAAAAACTTTTGACATTAAGCTTATTTTGCAGAGCTACTTTAAAAACAAGTTTAAATAATCCGAGAAAAGCTTTTATTTAAAAACTCCTGAAAAGTTAACTTCAGTTTAGTTAAACTGAAAGTTAGCACAAACATGTTTTAACTCAAAAAGATTTAAATTATTGAAAAGACTTTGTTGTAAAACTGACAATAGGTAAAAACGGACCAGTATTACATTTTTTAATATTTTTCAGTTCAAATCCTTTAGGACTTAAACAGATGCTGGGTGTTTTAAAACTATATTGTTTTTTTAAATTATAATGGCAAATTTCTTATAAACTTTATAAATTTTATATAAAATTTTGACAATTTTTTTTTTTGTAACACTTACATAACTAATTTAGCTTAAGCCAATTTGTTCCAATTCGTTTTCTTATCTGATTAGTTTTATTCTATATACTCCGATTTGCCATTATTCAAAATAAATAAAGAATACTACATGCTTTTTCTTTGATATGGTTTACTTTAATTGAAAAATTAAAAAAAAAAATATGCAAAATAAAAATTAAGTAGATCCAATTGGTTTTAATTTTTGATTTTGGTATTTTTTAATACATGATTTTTTTTTTTGATATATCTTTTTCTGATTACAAATCGAGATGAGCAAATTTTGTCAACATAACAACAAGAGGCAAATATATAGTATGTATATAGTTTCAAATATTTAATTAAGTTGATATTAGAAAAGAAAATAGAAAACTTGTGGACTTACCGAAATCATTAGCAGCCATACCGGAAGGACCTGGCAATAGGCCGGGTATACCTTGTAAACCTAAAAAGGCATTGGGGAAGGAATGAGAACGTTGATTGTCCATAGAGTCCATAGTGCCATCATGTTGGGCATCACCGCGATCAGAGGGTTCAGTATCGGAACTATTTGAGTCTTCGCCAGCGCTTTGGGCATGTAGGGAGGCCATATCGGGATGTTGTTTCTGAGAAAGATAAAATAACAACAACAAAAAAAAAACAAATTAGTAAAGAGTTTTGAAAGTTTTTTTACATCTGTCTGATCTGTTAAATCTTGTAAGTTTTATATAAATATCTCAAGGTTATTGTAGTTTTTATATAATACTTACCTGCAAACCATTTGTATTTTCCAAAGCCTGGCCCAACAAAGATTCACGCATTTCACGATCCCGATCACGTGAGGTTTCACGGCTACGATCACGATTACGTGTTAAAGGATGTTGACCAGCTACTGGGAATTCACGATCGATTAGCAAACGTTCAGGACTGATACCATGTTGGGCACGAAACAAATCAGCACTTTTTATTCTTTTCTGAGGAGGAGGCGTCAAATGATTATTACGATTGCTATCCGAATCCGATAAGTCCCAATGATTAGCCTATATAATATGCAAATGAAAAGAAAAAGAAACAAAAATTACATAAAAAACTCTTTCATTTCGCGACAAATCTTTTTTTCCGTTTGATTTTTTTGGGGAAGTGTCTACATTACTTTATTGTTAATGTTTGATTTTCTTACGGGAGACGCTGACGAGGCCTTCAATTCCTGTATGGCAGGGGTATTTCCACTATTCGAATTGTTATTTTTGTTATTATTATTGTTGTTGCTACTGCTGTTATTATTGTTATTGTTGCTGTTGTTATTATTATTGCTGCTATTATTATTTAGATTGCTGCTGCTATTATTTAATAAATTATTCAAAGGTGTAGTCGATCCTAGAGATGGTGTTGTGAATGGTGAGTTGGAGGAATTGCTTAAAGCTTGGGTAGCAGCTGTCAAGAAATTCAATTTGTTCGTACTGCCCGATAGTTGACTGTTTAGCGCTGTATTATTCAATTTATTGGAGGGCGTTGAGGAAGCGAGTGTAGGTGTGAAAGAGGCCGAAGAGCCATTGTTGACATCGGCTAGACCTCGTATTTGTAGTAAATGGGCGGTTTTTAGGAATTCCGGCAAATGTTCATGACCCACATTGACTTCGCCGTTGTACATAAAGCTGGAAAGGGGTGAAGGAATTGGGGGTCAATTATAAACGTTAATATAAGTTCTTTTTTAGTCATTGTTTTATAGAAATGTTTTTCCATACAAAAGCTTTTTTACATAAAAGTTTTTTTTTCCAGAAAAAGCCTTTTTCGCAATTTTTTTTATAAACTAATGTTCACCTAAAATTGTTTTTACAATATAAGCTTTTTTTCAAAAAATCTTTTTCATAAAAAGCTTTTTTATGTAAAAGTTTTTGTATAAAACAGCTTTTTATATTAAAGATTTTGTATAAAAAAGCATAAAGTTTTTACGATATAAGATTTTTTCTAAAAATCTTTTTCATAAAAAGCTTTTTTATATAAAAGTTTTTATATAAAAAAGCTTTTATATGAAAGTTTTTGTATAAAAAAGTATAAAGTTTTTACAATATAAGCTTTTTTCCAAAAATTCTTTTCATAAAAAGCTTTTTTATATTAAAGTTTTTGTACAAAAAAGCTTTTATATAAAAGTTTTTTGGTATAAAAAAAGCTTTCTCATATAAAAGCTTTTTTTAAAAAGCTTCTTTATAAAAGATTTCTCATATACAATTTTTTTTTATATAAAAGCTTTTCAAAATTTTTTTCTTTAAAAATGTTTTTTTTATATTAAAGCTTTTTCACTATTTTTAATAAAAAAGTTTTTTTTTAACAAAATTTTTTAGTTTTTCTTTCAACAAAAACAAAAAAGCATTAACACTCACCTCAATAAATTCTCCACATCATCGGCCGGCACATCTCTTAATATAACAATGGGATGTTCGCATGGATTTGCCTTTAACAATTTACGAAAGTAAGGACTACAAGCGCTCAGTACGACCTTGTGAGCGGTAAAGGAACGTTCATCACAGGCCAAAGTAACATCGACAAAATCTTCTTCATCTCTCAAATGACGAAATGAACTCAACATAGAGGTTTGATAATCATTCCATTTTAAAGCATATTGTTGTTGCTGTTGTTGCAACTGCTGCTGTTGCTGTTGTAATGTTGCACTTATTATAGCAGCCGTTTGCTGTTGTTGTGTCTGTTGTTCCATAACGGATGATGGTGCTGGCGAAGTGGCCAAATTTGTATTGGCTGTTGAGGCTGTGGTGGCGGCAGGCGGTAATGGTTCCATTTTAACAACCCCTGCGTTATTATTCTCTGCTGTTTGTAATTGTGTTGATTCAGTCATTTGCGTCGTAGTGTTTGTTTTTTGTTTGAATTTTTAAGGGAAATCAGTTAAGTTTTGTTTCGATCTCGTTTTGTAATATGAAGACAATTTGTGTGTTTTCTTTGATAGATTTCTATTTGTTTATTATTTTTAATAGGGAATTAATGCAATCCTTTTAGTTTGTTATTTTTATATTGTTTAAATTATTAATAGTTTTCCTTTTTGAGTATGCAAACTAGGCCATTAAGGGTTTTTTTGTCTGTCTTTTATAAATTTTTTTTAGATTTTTTGAGTTTAGCTAAAGTTCCATTTTTTCTATTGTTGAGTTTAATGTTTCTAAAAAAAGGATTTCTTTTGTCTTTTTAACGCAGTGACCCCAACATTAGTTTTGTTCGTTTGTCTTGTTTAGTGTAGCTATTAAATTTCAATAAGTGGACGGAATTCTGTAAGTAAATAGAGAAAACAATTGTTTGTATTAATAAAAATTTGTTTATAAGTAAATATGAATTTTAAGTTTTTAATAAATATTTAATTGTTGAAAAATGAAATCACTTAAGAAACTATTGCTAAAGCAAGGGTTTGTAAACATTTATTGTTTTGGTCTGTTAGCAAAATGTATTTGCAATTTTTATTTCAAAAGTTAAGTTTGATTTAAATGCTAATATTGTGTTCTAAAGCTTTGCTATTTAAGAGCTTTTTTTGTAATATTTCAAGAGCTTTTTAAGCTTTGTGAGTAAGTAATTCATTTTAAGATTTAATTATAGTCCAATTTAAACAGTAATCCTGTATCATTATGAAAGCTTTCTTTATAGTTAATTGTAAGCTTTTTTTAACTTCAAATGTAGGTGCTTATTCAGACCATTTAAAGTTTTGATTGTAGTATAATTTGAACTACAATCGTGGGAACTTATGCTGTCCCACTTTTGATTTGATTTCACAGCATTATATAGTTTAGTTTAAGACTAATTTGTAGATCCGTATACAGCCAAACTTTTGATTTGAATATAGCCCAATTTAAAGCTTTATGGTTTATATTTTAAGCTTTAGTAGCAAGTCTTTTTGTAGTCCATCTTTAGCCTTTTCCGAAGACCTTACTAAAGTTTACTATAAGTTTTAATTGAAAAGCTTTGTGTAGTCAATGTTATGCTTCAATCGTTGAGCTTTATGTACATAATTTTAAACTTCAATTGTAGATCTTTATGTGCTTTATTATAAGCTTCCATCTTAGAGCTTTATAAAGCTCATTTTTTGTATCAGTTAGAGATAGTTATGTGCTTCATTAATTGTAAAGCTTTATATGGTATATTTAAACCAGTTTCAGCTCTGAGTACATATCATCTTCAAATTCATTATAAGTTTTAATAGAAAGCTTTGAGTAATCCATTTGATCAATATAGAGCTTTGTTTAATCCAATTTAAGCTGAACATGTAGAACTTTGCATGCTTCAATCATAGAGGTACATGTGGATCATTTTAAGCTTTTGACGTTGAGATTTATGTAGTATTCTTTAAGCTTTCAATTGAACTTTTTAAACTTTAATTCCAAAGCTTTTGTTTCTAATTCAATAAGCTTTTTGTAGTCCATTTTAAGCTTTAGTTGTAGAGATTTATCTGCTACTTTTTAAGGTTCTGACGTAGAGCTTTATTTCGTCTATTTTAAACTTTTAGTGCTTAATTTAAAGCTTCAAACATAGAGCTGTATGTGGTATGTTAAAAGTTTAATCTTTTTCTACATCACGCTCTAAAACTCATTTAATATAGAGCGCTCCATATCTCTTCATCTGTCTACTTTATAGACTTCTTTGTACCATTCCATCTCTAGTCTATTCTCGATAATCAGTTATAGTTTATGGACTAGCAATTGCTCTATAGTCTAAATTTGTCTTACCTTGTAGAGTTATAACTTCAAAATAGTTAAAATTGTTTACGAACAAACTGTACTTTTTCTAGGCTACAGCTTAAGTTAACGCCTTTATGTCAATTAAAATTGTTTATAACTATTTTTAGAATATTATTTTTTTATGATTATTTGTTAATAACCCCATAAAACAACATAAACAATACAAGAAAAATTATTAAACAAAGACTTTTTTTGGAAATTATCATATGACCGGAATTGACCTTTTTTTTCTTGCTTCAACTCCAAAAGAAACAAAAGAACTTTAAAATTGATTTGAAATTCCTAAATAATGTTAATAAAATGTAAATTAAGATTTAAACAAGATTTCTTCTTACAAACAGGCACAAAAACTTATTAAATGAGAAATGAGAAAAAAAAAGAAACTAAAACCATCAACACTAGTGAGTGACAGAACAAAAAAAAAAGTAGAAAAAAAACTTAAATTGTCATTACTAAGGGGCGTAAACTTGCGTAGATTTAATCATTGTATTAATAAAAAAAATATTACCGCTTTAGTATAACTTACACTCGCAACTACTCACTCACCTCTACAACAAAAAACAACAACCAAAGTAATCAAATGTTTTATTTATTGTACGTACACAACTAAATTGTAAAGAAAACAACACAAAAAAAAACAATCAAACTCAATTCAACTACAACAACAACGACAACTACACAAACTTAAAATAATAAACCTACAATAAAAAGAAGAAAAAAAAATAAACTATACATTAAAAACAAATACATACAATGAACAAGAAAAAAATGTACAAAACAAAAAAAAAAAAATTATATACAATAATAAAAACAACAACAACACAATAATTTTAACCAATGAAAACTACACGCACATTAAATACCAACAACAAAAATAAATACATAAATGTACATGTTGGCCAATAAGAGAGATTAAAATAATAAAAAAAAAAAAAATACAAAAATACACACAAACAACAACCTAAAAATTATATTTTATTTTTTTCCATATATTGTAGTTGTAGTACTAATAATAATAACAACAACAGCAACAACAACATGTTAGTGTGTGGTAAGAGATCTCTATTTATTGTCATTGTATTAAATACTACTCTCTCACCCATACTTTAAAAATCTGTTTCTTTATTTTTTTTTTATTACATAAAGCAGGTTACAATAATTTAGTTTTCTATACAATTTCAATAATTTTAAAGATGAGGCTCAAAGTTAGAAAAAAAAACTAATTTTATTGTTTCTTTTTTTTGTATTATTGGAAAGAAGCTAATGGAAAAAAACCTTAAAATAAGTTAATGTTATAAAATAAATACATATGACGTCAATACACTTACAAAGTTGTAGATTATTTTAAATTTTCGTACAAAAAAAAACCAACGCATTTTAAAATTTAAATACACACATTAATTTTGTTTTTTTTTTCGGTTAGTTAAATTTCAAATACTTTTAAATTGTTGTAACGGTTTCTATTTTTGTGACTAGTTTTTTTTTCAAGCTAAATTAATTGAAAATTGTAATGAAGACAAAAATGCTAATTTTTTAAAAGGTTTTTGAACATTTAAAGAAAAAATAATTAAAAAATAAAATGTCATGTTGTTTTTTTATAAATAGCAACTAATTACAACAAAAAATAATTAAAATTAGAATTAATATAAAAATTAAAGAAATAGACTAGATTTCAGATAATAGATTAGACTATAGACTAGATTATAGACTAGGCTAGAAACTAGACTATATACTATAAATTAGACTTAAGACTAGACTATAGAGAAGACAATAGTCCAGACTATCATCTAAACTAGGAGTCCAGACTATAGTCGAGTCTAGACAGACTATAGACTAGACTGTAAACTTGACTATAGAATAGACTATAGTCCAGACTATAGATTAGACAATAAACTAGACTAGACTATAGTCCAGACTATGGACTAGACTATAGTACATATTATAGACTAGGCAATAGTCCAAACTATAGTTCATACTTTAAACTAGACTATAAACTAGATTTATGTCCAGACTATAGACTAGACTATAGTTAAGTCTATAAACTAGATTATAGTTCAGACTATAGTTCAGAATATAGTCCAGATCATAGTCCAAACAATAGTTCAGACTATAGTCCAGACAATAGTCCAGACTAAAGTCCAAACTTTATTCCAGACTATAGTCGAAATTATAGTCTAGACTATAGTCCAAACTATAATCCATTCTATAGTTCAAACTATAGTCCAGACTATAGACCAAACTATAGTCCATACTATAGTCCAAACTATAGTCCAAACTATAGTCCAGACTATAGTCGAAACTATAGTCCAGACTATAGTCCAAACTATAATCCATACTATAGTCCAAACTATAATCCATACTATAGTCCAAACTATAGTCCAAACTATAGTCCAAACTATAGTCCAAACTATAGTCCAAACTATAGTCCAGACTATAGTCCAAACTATAGTCCAGAGTAAAGTCCAAACTTTTGTCCAGACTATACTCCAAACTATTGTCCAGATTATAGTCCACACTATAGACTATACTATAGTCCAGACTACAGACTAAACTATAGTCCAGACTATAGACTAGACTATAGTCCAGACTATAGACTAGATTATAGTCCAGACTATAAACTAAACTATAGTCCAGACTATAGACTAGACTATAGTCCAGACTATAGACTATAGTCCAGACTATAGAGTATAGTCCAGACTATAGACTATAGTCCAGACTATAGAGTATAGTCCAGACTATAGACTAGACTATAGTCCAGACTATAAATTAGACTGTAGTCTAGACTATAGACTAGACTATAGTTCAGACTATAGACTAGACCATAGTCCAGACTATAGTCCAAACTATAGTACAAACTATAGTCCAGACTATAGTCCAAACTATAGTCCAGACTATAGTCCAAACTATATATAGTCCAGACTATATTCTGGACTATAGTCCAGACTATAGACTACTCCATAGTCCAGACTATAGTTTAGTCTATAGTCAAGGCAATAGACTAGAGTATAGTCCAGACTGTAGACTAGACTATAGACTAGATTAGACTATAGTCCAGACTATTGACTAAACTATAGTCCAGACTATAGATAAAACTATAGTCCAGACTATAGACTAAACTATAGTCCAGACTATAGACTAAACTATAGTCCAGACTATAAACTAAACTATAGTCCAGACTGTAGACTTGACTATAGACTAAACTATAGTGCATGCTATAGACTAAACTATACTCCAGACTATAGACTAAACTATAGTCCAGATTATAGACTAAACTATAGTCCAGATTATAGACTAAACTATAGTCCAGACTATAGACTAAACTATAGTCCAGACTATAGACTAAACTATAGTCCAGACTATAGACTAAACTATAGTCCATGCTATAGACCAAACTATAGTCCAGACTATAGACTAAACTATAGTCCAGACTATAGACTAAACTATAGTCCAGACTATAGACTAAACTATAGTCCAGACTATAGACTAAACTATAGTCCAGACTATACACTAAACTATAGTCCAAACTATAGACCAGATTATAGA